ACATGTAGCCAATAGAATGTTGATTCAATAAATAATAAGCTGTTTCCCCACAAAAGTGGCTTATTCAGCATATTCAAGTCTCTCCTTCATTGACATCCTTTCATAAAAAAGGCCTCTGGTCTCCTTCACTGAAATGTTTACCTTTGAGGCTTGCCTAAAAGCTGCTTTGAGTGTGTCATGGCATTGACTCAATAGGAGTGTTGTCTGAAGCATGTGTGAAAACGTACATCACAGAATATCCAGCTTCTTTGTCTTCAGGAAGCCATTTGTGTGATTTATTTTGTTATTGTATGTCTCATTCTGTTTTAGTCAGGATTTTGTCGAGACAGCGCATGGATTATGGTTGCAGTATGAGGCGAGAGCTGACAAGTGTTCCCATTCCCTTTCTCTCTCAGGCTGCATGCAAACAGATTCCTAGTTGTTAACAGTGACATGAAACATATATTCAGCATATTTTCTAGGCTGTGTAACATTTGTCTAGTTAATTTACTGACTGCATTTAACTCTGGGGTGTCACAAAAAATGAATCTAGCTCTGGGGAGCTAGATATGGAGCATTACTCCACTGGGGATCTGGCCCTCTGTGCCACCAAGCAGATTGCTGGCGATTATCAGCCATCCTATAAGCCAGGGGTCTCCAACCATGCTCCTGGAGAGCTACTGTCCTGCAGATTTCGGCTCCACGATCGATCGTCATTTAAATCAACGATCAATTAATCGATTAATCGTTAACCTTAAATGCTGCAAAATGTGTCTATTGCAGCGGCATGACACGATGTGCAAAAGTCACTCAAAAAAAAAAAAAAAACCTTTCTCACCCGATTTAAAGGGGTTTTAGTCTTAATAACGTGCTAGTATCAGGATTGTAAAATGATGTAATGAATCAGTCCACTGAAGGCGAGCGTAGTGAGAACCCAAGTGCAGTTTTATTTACAGTGTGATCCAAACAACAATCCAAACAAGATACACAGACTTGCCGAGAACAGACTTGACTAGACTCACCGACAGCGGGTTACAACATCAATACACGACCAGAGACAACGTCAACATGATGGCTACTTATAACAAACAAGAGGGTCACATGACAAGAACAAACCAATGGGAAACAAGACACATGACTAGGACAACCAATCAGAACATGACACAAACACAAGGCAGTGATACATGAGGGCAAGGGAAGCATGACACAAACAGCATGAAACAATTACAAAATAAAAGAACGTGAAAACATGAACATGAAACAAAACCCAAACTCCAAACCCCACATTACAAATGATTACACTGTGATTTATAATTCCAGACTCCATCACAAATCAGTTTTTTTTCTGGTTTGATATTATTCAAAATATTGAATAAAGTATTCATGATTTTTCAAAATTTCTATGGTGCCTTCTGCTTGGTGGAATTCGTATGGTTTTCTTTCTTCTGCCAAAGAAAAAAGAAGACATTGTGAAGAATATTTCAGAATATTGTCCATAATAAGAAAGTTAAGGACACTTCCAGGTCATTTAAGCTCCATAATGGTTGCATGGAATTCATCCATATAACCTGACTGGTTTATTCAAAGTCTTCTAATGCAACACAAACACTCAATCACTTCAGAAGATTGGAATAAATTGAATAATCCTTTATGCCCTTTTTGGTGCTTTAAAGTTCTGGACCCTGTTGATTTACATTAAATGGACCAAAAACAGCCAAAGCCTTCTCCAAAATATCTTTCTTTTTGTTTTCCCTCCTCTGCAGAAAAAAGCAAGTCATATGTGTTTGGAACAGAATGGGGCTGAGTAAATGATGACAGAATTTTCATTTTTGAGTGGCTATTCCTTTAATGTATATTTTAATAGTAGTAATACACTAGCTGTGTATTTATTTTTTTATTTCTTGAAGTGAGACTGGGTGTTACCTAGGGTGCCAAACTAGCAGTAATGCTAAACTATGTAAACAAGCTAAGACTCTGCTCTAACCTCCCTTTCCTAGTCCACCAAAAACATGTAGCACAAGTGTGGTCATATTACCGCACATGCAAGCCAAAGGCGTCTCCTGAAAAAATAACATGTCAGGGGCATATCCTTACCCTCTAACCAAACAAACTCTTCCAGCGTTTTCATATGTGCCGAGACAAATTAACACACTGAATAATTTAACACACTGATTGTGAACACATCCAAGCTTTCCACCAGCCCACCAACTGGGATATGTGCAGTGAGGGAAGACAAAATATTTAGGTATCAGAGTCTTGGAAATAATGACAAATGTCTTGGCCATAGATATGTAACTGAGGTGTACATTATGGTAATTAATGGACTTTTTCCACAATTTCATCATCCTTGGTACGAAAAAAAGTTGTTTCTGAATATTTCCTTATCTTATTCCTTAAATAAGTTGTATTTATATCCAACACTTAAGTAGTTCAATACAAGCTACATTAAGGCACATCAACACAAAGATGTGTTTCCTTTATCTATTCCAGATTTGCAGTAGTTTTACAAGATTGTCAACTATGTCAAACGTGTTAACTAGATGCGCCCCAGAGACACATCCCCTGTGAAGACCTCGTCACCTCAACGACCATGGGCACAAGACCACAGGAACCAGACAAGTCCTCTACACAATCTGACCTGTGTTGCAGCCTGGAATTAAACCCCGCCATGATTTTTTCGTCTGGCCAGAGGCACTGTTTACTGATTAACCACCATAGTACGATGCATTGTTGTGGTAACTACCTAGCCAGTCACGACTGTTTCCCGAAAACACCCCAGTATTGAATAAAGTGCTAAACAAATAAAGGTAACTTGACAAGATTGTGCCCACTCTAAGTTCCTACCGACTCTCTCATTGAAAATTTATTTTGACTTTTTTTCAAGCGACTGCCTATGCTTTATGTCCTTCCCTGCTGTTGGCCGCCCTGTCCCACTTCTTCTGCGATCTGTCTGCATGTGAGTGTCAAAAATGCTGTCATATGTAAAAATAGCTATTTAGGACCTATAGAAATACTATGAAAATCAATGTAAGGCCTATCAGTGTCACGGTCGGTGGTAGTGTGAGGAGCGCGGAACGAGGAGACCAGGGAGTACTAAACAAAGGGATTTATTCTTGTCACATGGAATCACACGTAGCACGAGGAGAAGACATCAACATACAATTCCAGACAAGGGAGAATTGAATGGGCTAGAACTAATTAGGGTAGATAGCGAGGGGCAGACAGGTGATGGGGATAACTAATAACAAGGAACAGGTGATACTAATAATGTGAAAAGGAACTGGAAGGACCAAATAAGGAAAGCAGGAACTCAACGGGAACATACGTGTGACAATCAGTTAGATAATACAGGAGACATAGCTGTTTATTAATCCACAACAGAAGTCATTTTTATGGGTCAGGTGAGGTAGAAATAGTTCTTCCCTGCACACTTTAACTTTTTAGGGGGCATGGATGACAAAAAACAAACTTAGTAAAAGTAAAAAAAATAGTAATTAAAACTTTACAGTAACAAACTTTTTTTTAGGTTTTAGGTAGCACTTTACAATAATGTTCAATTTGGTACATTAGTTAACTAAATCCTTTTACATGAACAACAATACAAAAATACTTCTAAAGCATACATCTTAATTAAGTTAATGTTAATTCCAGCATTTAATACGTTATTACAATCAAAAGTTGTATATGTTAATATTATGTAATGTACCTGAACTAACATAGAACATAATAACTTTTCTATGTCCTTGTCATGAAATGACAGATTTCTGTGAATCATAACTTTGTATGATAGGAATTAATTTGCAAAACCAAAATACACCTTCCCCTTAGGCAAAGTGTCATTCTCTGCAAAGTATTTCCAAACCAAAGATCTTTCATCCTTCCTAATCCTGCTTCCATCCTTTGGCCTAATACCTGATTGCTGTATTCCAGCAATCAATACTTTGAATAATTTTTCAAAGCAGTTCTTTATCAAAGCATGCTAATCAGGAGCACAACTGGGTCCGGCAAACATCTGTGGATAGATTTTTCTCCGCTCAATCAAACATTACAGGGGAAGTGAAAGACGGAAAGGATCAAAAGAAGGGGGG